TTCACCCCCAGTTATGTATGGTAAAATAATTCCATTATCAAGGATAGGGTTATTTAAGGATTCAGTGAAATAGTATGAATAAAGTACTCAACAGAATGGCCACATAGTAAGTACTCAATACATGCAAGCTAAGTTAAATAAAGTGAACAAAATCATAGCTCTTAGAAAGTTACAATTTGACTTTTATCTCTCAAATTTTTATTTACTAAAAAAAGTGCATAATCATTTTAAATTTAGATAGTTTATTTCTCTCTTTAGATATCTTCTAATTGAAGAACTATTCTGAAATGAGCAGGCATTATAAATGGAACTTTTTTTCTCTCATATTCAAATCTCCTTTTTAATGCTGTGTGTTTACCAAATTCTTCTCCTTCATTCTTTAAAAAAATATATATGATTTTAACTGATTTGGGGAAATTCTAATTAACAGTTTTTATTGTGTTGGGAAAGAGAAATTAATTTCTTATGGTAAAGATGAGTTACGTTCTTTCTGCCAGCCAAATGAATTTGGAATAAAGTTGAGTGAGTGATTTTTTTCATTAGCCTGTGAAAAGGCTATTTATTTCTACATGTAATTATAAAACAAGTAATTCTGACTTAATGAAATAAAACCAACCCTGAAAACAAATAGGACTCATTTGCAGTTTCAACTAAATTAGATACTGAAAAATGCTTGCATTCTGATGTGTTTGAAATGTCTAATGAAATTACAAATATAATATTTCAAAGAACAAGGATAAAAACTTTGATCAGAGAAGGAAATATATGTGCATAAATAACATCTCAAGAAGCTCAAAGTCACTTTGCCATTTTAAGCCTTCTCTTATTTATAAGTCAATGACATGAAATAATGCAGGAAAATGAGTTTCCACCCAAATCTTACTAAGAGGCTAAGTTTCACAGGAATAACTGTAAGTAGTTTACAATGTGCACAGTAGGTCAAATTGATATTGTGATTCATGAGAGTTAAATGTTTTATTTGATAAACGTAGAAACCCAAGATTGCCTCTGGCAGAAGTTTAAAATAGGTTATAAATCCGATTTAATGTTAACAGCAGGGATTTATAACAATCATAAACTGAAAACACCCCACGTTTTAATATGTTAGGATCATGAACTACATTGTATCAAAACCAAACTGTCCTTTTTTTTTCCTTTAAAAAAGAATAGCCGATGAACTAGTAAAAAGAAGTTAAAATGGAGCAAAATCTCTTTCTTACACACACACAAACCTATACAGATATGCTATCAAATAGGAATAACGTAAGAAAATAATAACACTGTCACTTAGAATCATTGCCTTATATGTTGTACATAATGGCTTTCCTATGGTTTCTGCTGCAAGTTAATAAAAGTCCATAAAGTATGTAATAATGACAAAGAGCTACTGTCCTGGGATTAGAAGGAAATAAATTTTTCTAGCTCTCCATTCAGACAACACATTTGAAACCCGGGAGGATGGGACATTTGGGGATTGTGCTCTGAGTCAAGTAGAAACTCAGAGACAATTCTAGTTCTCTCTCGCTTTCTTTAAGTTACCCATGGCCTTCATTTAGCATATAGATCAATTAACAGACTACTGTTTGGGGGACAATACATGGTTCGCTCCACTCATCCTGCTTTTTTCCTTCTTTCTTTCCCTAAATCCCCATTGTTTTAGTTTCAGTCCTTCTGAAAGTAGACCCTGAGACAACGACTTGACTACCAATAATTTTGAGGAACATCTCAATCCTAAGAAACAGAAGCAAAGAACAGGACAAGTGACAGGGGAAAGGTATAGAAGCTTTATCTCAAGATGCATTATCAAGTTGGCCACCAAACAGGTGACTGGCACTCAAGCCCATGGCACATTCTGAAGAGTCTTATGAAATGTGTCAGAGCTGTTTGCCTAGGGGATGTGAGACAAAAGCATTTGTCCATCAGTTCCTATCCCCATTTGGACAAAGCTTACTCCTCAGATATTAACTGCCCAGCACTTCTGAATGCTTTACAGGTTCCTAAGAATATTCCACATTTAATGTGTCAGAGAAGTTTTTAGGCAATAAGTGGTTGGTATGCTACCCAAGGAAAGGAACTAGTGGGTTGCATCTGCCAGTGCTGGTGAAGGGCTGCATGGAGATGATCACCGACTGCAGCAGAGGCAGGAGTGTGTGGCAGGACTCAGAGCTTGGTGAGGTGGGGCACTAGAGTGGTCTGAGACACCCATCTTCTTTCATGGTGTCTAGACCCTTTTAAGTTCCACATTTAGGGCTCATTCTTGTTGCCATTCCCTGTATCTCAATGTGATTTTATCTCAGTTGCATGACCCTTATATTTCTGGATCCAGATAAAAACAAAATAGGAATATCTTTAACACTAAATACTTTAAATATCTAAATAGCAGGCTGAAAGAGGGTCCATGCAGCAAAATTTTGCCCTCTACCTTATTCAAGGGCTCTCGTCAACTCAAGGGATGCCTATTCTTGGTTTTCCTCCATTCAGCTCAACCCTTAAATTAAGCAAGGAACCTGAAATTCCATCATGAGATCCTTCCCTGAAACACCTAGCAGAATAAAGAATTTTTCTAATACTTAGGACCATTTTGGGTTGAATATCATTTGACAATTCTAAAGGAAGAAAATATCTCCTCAAGTCATCAGTGTGAGCTAACTGGAATGAACGATTTCCTTTAACGTTTTCTTGGGGACTCTGCCATTTACCATCATATGCATTTTTATGTGTATTTTTTTACTGCCAAAATGTTTGTTCCTGATTGTGTGTGGGTCTGAAAACAATTTGAAATCATTATTTGGTTTCTATATTTGGGAAACAACACTACATCACTGAGACATGTTCAATTTATTTTTTAATGTTTATTTTTGAGAGAGAGAGATTGAGAGAGCACATTGGAGGGGCAGAGAAAGAGAAAGGATCCTAAGCAAGGGCTTGATGCTGGGCTTGAATCCATGAACCATGAGATTATGACCTGAGCCAAAATCAAGAGTTGGCCGATTAACTGACTGAGCCACCCAGCTACCCCTAGACATGTTCAGTTTATTAACTCTTCAACCCCTGTCATCTTTTGCCCTCTTTCTTGAAAATTAGAGTCTCAACAGTGTGGGTTTCTGCATAGTAGTATCAGTGTTTAGACATTGCTACCAACGTCAACACTAAAGAGACAACATATGTTACCGGGAAAAAACAAAACAAAACTGGAAAGTCATTGTAAGTTTCAAGCTAAGAACTGACAACTAGCAGTTAAGAATCAGACTTAACTTCTCAAAGCAAGGATTAATTCTCTAAAATACATTGCTAAATGTGCCCAATCTGAGAAGCTTCAATTACTTTGCTTTTATTTAACATACTTTTGTCAATATTAAGCAAGGTACTATGGTTATTACTCCGGAAGCATTCCTCTTTTCTTTTCATAAAAACTTTTAAGAGGTAGAAAATTAAGGGAAAAATCACAATTCCATTGTCAACTGGCAAGTCTTCAACAAGCCTCAACATTCTTTATTTATTTTTTATTTTTATATTTTGAGAGAGAAAGAGCACGTGTGTGAATGTGAGCAAGGGAGGGGCTGAGGGAGGGGGCAAGAGAGAATCTTAAGCAGGCTCCACACCCAGCCAATGCTGGACTCAATCCCACAACCCTGGGAACATGTAAAGAGATTTTGGCTCTTTACATTTAACCTGAGCCAAAATCAAGACTTGGATGCTCTACCAACTGAGCCACCCAGGCGCCCCCAACAAGGCTCAAGATTCTTATTTTGGCAGTATCATTTGTCCATAGGATTGTCACTATAGAAGACAAAATAAATAAAGGGACACAATTCTCATTATTGAGGAAATAACTCTGTGCTCTGTAAAGATACAAGAGCCTTGCACAAACATTTACATACTCTATCATTGGTGTGAAGTTTCCTAGTACCACTGACATATTAAAAAGAAATGTAAGAGCTGGAGTCAAAATAGATGGTTTTATGGAATTGGAAGAAGACTTATAGAAAATGGGATATTTGAATTTAGATTGATGGAGAGGAGCAGGAAATTCATTCATTGTGAGGAATAATACATGCACAGTTTCACAAAGCACACAGCATTCTGTCCAGCCACAATGACATTTTTCTATTTCCTTTAGTTTCTCTATGCTGCTTTTTCTCCAGATCATTGAGGAGCCGGCTCCCGCTTGCCATTCAAGTCTCCCCTTAAATATGTATCATTTGATTTACGTAGGCACTAGTCACTCTGTAGTACTGTATTTTATTTTCCTCAAACAACTTGCCTTAACTGTCTTATTTCCTTGTCTATTCTATTCTATTGTCTACCATCCCCCACTAAAAAGTTAACTGCATGAGAGAATAGAATTTGCCTATCTTCTTTAGCTATTTTATCAGTAGCAACTTGAACAATGCTCATAATGAGGTAACAGATCATATGTATTGAATGAATTGATTAGTCAACCACATATAACCACATATAATCTTGCCTCTCTTAGTGTGAGATGGGATTTGGGCTGTCCTTCTCTCAAAGTCTTTGTGTTCACTAGAGGTTTCCTTGACTATGTTCTTGCTTCATTTAAAATCTATTCAATGAAAACAAAAGAAAAAAAATTGATGAATATTTTATGTGATAAAATACTTTTGTATCTGTCTTGTTAAGTTGTGAATTTGTCAAGATGGAACACCTGGTCTTTTATATTTACAAGATGATAATTTACCATGTAAATCTTACAGATTTTCTTTTGTTTTCTTTAATACCATTTAATGAGAGCTATCATTATATGGCATTGCTAAGAGTTTTAAGTTTTTAAATAAATGTGATTGCCACATTGTTGTCATTAAAAGTGTCTTTTAAGAAATAATTTGCATAACAAAATAGTTAATAATTTATTTGTTTGGATTGTTTAGTTTTTCTAAAGAGAAAAGTGGGATTTTATTCTGTGAATCAAGGAGAACACAAGAAGACTTTATTAGGACTTCTGAAATGAGGGATTGCCTCCTCTGGTTGAGACAGAAAATATGAAATCCTATGGCCCAGTAAATCTCTCACTTGCTTTTGAAGTCATAGACCACCACTTGCCCCACTTTAATGGTGAGCAAGCAACACATTAGGGATTGAAGTAAAAGAGATGTGATTGGATTAATACAAACTCTTCAGCACGCCAAGAAACAACTCAAATTAGTCTCCTAACAATCACAGCTCTGAAGATAAAGAGCAGCACATTATTATGTAGAGATGTTAGAGAAACTTAGATTATTATTAAAGAAAGAGTAGCAGAGGGTTGTTAATAACTGGTTTCAAGAATATAAAAAGTTCTGTAAAAAGGTTGACCAGATGTTTTCCATCTACATGGAGACAGAATCAAATTAAATGGTTGCAAATTACAACAAGAAAGATGTAAATTATACCTAAAAAAAACTTATCCACTGGGGAAGCCTATTGAAATAGAACAGTTATCTTTTACCAGTTCGTTATAAAATTACTTGGGAATCAGAGGTTAAACAAGATAGTTATCTGCCAGGGTTTTTCTCCCAGCATGAAATAGACACAAGTATCCCCAAATAAAAAAAGGTGACTGCTACCACAATAACAAGATATACACATCATAATCTTACTCTTCCCCCTTTTATCATTATGCCTTTATTTGAAACCAGGGAGGACCGTGTACTACTTGCACCGTGTACTACATGGGAAGCACAGCTAGATTAAAGAGTTTGAAAAAGATGGAAATGAATGGGGAAGTTAAGAAGAATTCACAGAAAATGATTTGTGAATAATAGGAAACCCAAGGACTTTCATTCATGCCCAGTTCTGACGTCCTGAACAAATTATCTAGAAAACATCCCAAATAAAAGCTTCCTGAAACTGAATACAAACCATTTTAGACACATGCTCTATTTTTCTTTCTTTCTTTCTTTCTTTTTCTTTCTTTCTCTCTCTTTCTCTCTCTCTCTCTCTTTCTTTTGTTCTTTCTTTCTTTCTCCCTCCCTTCCTCCCTTCCTCCCTTCCTCCCTTTCCTTCCTTATAAGGGTTTAAAGTGTTCAGCGCTCCCAGAAGGATAGTTGACTCAAATATTTCAGGATCTTATACTAAGTACTTCAGTGGAGGGGCATCTGGGTGGCTCAGTTGGTTGAGCGTCCGACTTCGGCTCAGGCCATGATCTCGCAGTTCGTGAGTTCGAGCCCCGCGTCAGGCACTATGCTGACAGCTCAAAGCCTGGAGCGTGCTTCAGATTCTGTGTCCCCTTCTCTCTCTGCCCCACCCCTGCTTGTGCTCTGTCTCTCTCTGTCTTCGAAAAATGAACACACATAAAACAAAAATTAAAAGAGTAAATACTTAAGTTGACACATTAGTTGTGTTGCCATGCCTTAACAATTAGGAGTTAACTAGATTGCAGGACTCTCTTCTTAAAACTGGACTTTGAGAAAATGTCTCAACAACATCTCAAGACTTTTTCTTTCAGGGACTATTTAAAGCTGAAGGCATGCTCTTTTGGCTCCCACTTCCCTAAGGCTATAGTTTAAGAGATAAATCTTGGAGCTCATCAACAAGAAAAAATGGTGCCTCTCTGAGACCATGGCCTTTTCACCTTGCCAGCTAGTACATTCAGCTCTGCCTTTATTAAGTAAAGGTGAGGAACTGCATTTTCATTTCTTCTCTGCCCCGTTCCCATCTTCTGTCTCAACTAAATACATTCCCAAGATTATGTTGCCTGCTAAAAAATATATAAGAAATATGGTCACTCTGAAAGAAGCGGAGAAAAATTAATATACATTCAGTCATCAAACATTGTACCAGTTCTGTGGCTAGCAGTGATAGTTCTTTACATACAGATGTCTTGGGCATGCCATTTCATGTAGATTTAACAAGCAGTAAAGAGAAAATGCAGAGTTTGTTCCTTAAAACTACTCTGGATTTCTACCTAAGCCATCAAATGTTAAGAAATGTAAGTACATAAATGCACGCTATGTTCTAAAACAAGTTCTACCTGATGCTTTAGAGCAGGAAGTTGCAAACTTTCTGGAGCAGGCCAGATGTAAGTATTTTAGGCTTTGTGAGCCATAGGGTCTCTGCTGCTGCTACTCAACTCCGTCATTGTAGCACAAAAGTGGCTATAGACGATGCATAAATGGATTGGTATGTCTGTAAAATTTTATTTACAAAAGCAAGCTTTGGCTAGATGTGGCCACTGGGTATATCATTTGCTAACCCTTGACTGAAACAGTCCCTTTTGGTTCTTTCTTTCTTTCTTTCTTTCTTTCTTTCTTTATTATTTTCTCAGGTATTCTCTCCTTACACCTGCTTTTCTCAAAAGCTCTGATAAAGCCCAAGAGAAAGAGGGAAGCATCTTCCAGTGTGGCATCTTCCAATCACCGAGCCATGCCTCTTGTCTACCTGCTTCTGACTTGCTCTTCTGGTTTAAGTTTGAGGGTAGCATAACTGTGATCTGGGGCTTCCCAGTAAGGACATTTAGTGGTGCTGCCTGGCTGCCCTGGGTTCCCCCCAGCTTCTTTGGTGCCGTGACCTTGCAGGGGTCTGGCAAGGCTGCCATGCAGTCTCAGGCCAAGCAGTCCACCTTGCAGCTCCACAGAGCCACCTCACTGTATCATGACATTCCCCTCTGGCAATTCTCCCAGCCACAGTTTCATCTACCCACACCATATGTGAGCCAAGGGCAGCTTGGGGAAACTCCCTCAAAATCTGAAGTGTCTTACTACACTTGGCCATGCTGACTTGGATGGCTCTTGTAGTTTTTAAGAGGTCTCCCTGCTTTCCTCTGTGTTTAATATTACACTTAATTATCTGGCACTCCCTACTTAAGCCAGAGTTCAGAGGCCTCCCTTCAAACTTAAACCTAGAAAACATCCCAAAAAGGGATGTTAAAAGGGAATAAAGGCATTTGAAAATCTCTCCAAATAGTAACTGGACTTGCACCGTGTACTACATGTCAGAAGCTGAAAATCACATTCTCCTTTCCCTTTTTATTTCTTCTCCAATATATCCTAAGTAAGTCATTCCATTTTGCCCCAAGATAGGTAGACGGGCCAGCCTATGACAAAGGTCATGCACTGAGAAAGTTCAGACAAGAAAATGTGTATGTCGTTTTCAAACTATTAGTCTATTATATATTCCCTGATATTTCTTCACAACAACCCATTTAGGTAGGTGTTGTTATTCCGGTTTAGAGATGAAAAAACTAAGGTTCCGAGAACATTGTAAAGCTTATGCAGCTACTGCACAAGCGAACAGGAGGTCCACCTGGGTCTCTGGCCCCACACCCAGTTCTAATTCCACCGCCTTCCCTGGGAGATGCAGGAAGCTCATTGCGAAGAGCGAGGGTCTGAACTCTGGCCCTAACTCCACCAAATGCCAGTTCGGACCATTTTAACAAATTCAAGAATTCTCACCCTTTGCATAAAATCATTGGAAGTAAATGAGATGATGATACTAACTGCTCTTTCATCAAGTCCTGTCTGTGTGGCATGCAGTTTCTAAACACTTGGATTGTCTCCTTTAATTTTCAAAACAATCCTATAAGGTAAGCATTAAAATTATTCTTATCTTATGGACAGTGTATAATAAAGTCCTCTGCATAGAATCTGGCACATCATGAATGCTCAATAATACTAGTTATTTTCTTAATTATTACTCTTCTCTTAGAACCATACCCACCAATAGCATTTATACAGAAATCTTTACCCAGAGCAGGAGCAATTCGTGATCGGGAGCCTTTGTCTGCTTACAATGTGGGAGCAGGGTGAGGGATCCTCCCATTTTTAAAGGGACTAAAATAGTATCAGACTTAACAACAAACTTCTGTGTCCTCCTACACTGCCATTTGGCTTGGGTCCCCTTGCTGCTCAACCTCCCTGGGTTCAGGCAGCTGGGACACAATGGCAGAGGCCTGAAGAAGGCAGTAAAAGAACGTGTACCAGGATGGCTGAGACAAGCTGTTGGTTCCATTCATATCCAAGGCTTCTCTTTTCTTTTTTCTTTTTAAAAAATTTTTAAGTTTATTTATTTATATTGAGAGAGAGACAGAGACAGCAGGAGCAGAGAAGAGATAGAGAGACAGGGAGAGAGAAAGAATCCCAAGCAGGTTCCACACTGTCAGCACAGAGCCCGATGTGGGGCTCAAACTCACGAACTGTGAGATCATGACCTGAGCTAAAATCAAGAGTCAGATGCTCAGCCAACGGAGCCACCCAGATGCCCCAAGACTTCTCTTTTTAATTTTCATTTCTATTTGAGTTATTTTAATTTTAATCCACTTGATGATTTGATTTTGGACCATTTTTCATTTTGAATTCTTACTATCACAACTTCCCCATATCATGAAGAGAAGAGACATTGCCTTATGGACAGTCTTGAACCAGAAGTCAAAATTTGTGGTTTGAAGTTCCTGTGTCACTAAATATGTACTATTAGTGATAATTTAACCTCTACGTATCTATTTCGTAACTTTATCAAGCTATGAAATGAGACTGTCAGATTAGATTATCACAAAGTTGCCTCCCAGCCTAAAATTGTTCCTTAATTATTTTCTATTGCCTTCAACACAAATGCTCACAAATCTCTTCATCATTAGTCAGTGTACGTCTTGCAAATATTTCCATTGTCAACCACCTGACAATCATTAATTAAGGAGACTCTAACTCTAGGCCTTGAATAATGCCATCATTTTTAGAAATAATTGTTTATGAGTCTCAATTCCTTATTCAATTTATTATTTAACTGAAATATAAATGGAAGGAATATGAACTATAATATCTAAGAGTTTCCTAGCCCTATCAGTATGTTAATTATTTAATATAATAAACAGTGAAAGAGCATCAATCTCCCTTCTCCCTGCTTCTCAAAACAGATGACTTGGTTTTTGAACTGTTCCTATTTTGTTTCACATTAACATCTATTGTTAGCAATTCATAGAATCACGTTTAAATACTATATTGTGGAACTTAGGGTCTAACAGGAGAGGAACACAAGCAAACCACCCTTAATCTGATTATAATAGAAATGCCATGTTAGAGAGATGCATAGCGACTATGGGAGCAGAGAAAGTCTTTCTTATTAAGATAATATATTGTAAA